AGCTCATTCATTGATAGGCAGGGTCAGTAGCTTCCCAGACTCGGAGGGGGAATTCCAGGCCCCTGCTGCCTTCATTTTAATTCTCTCCCTGGGGGGATGCTACAGAGGTGGATCCTGTGGGAGTGGAACCATGCCATATTGCCCCATGGCTCCCACCAGCGAGTGCTTCAAGGGAGTTGTATTAGTTTCCTGTGGCTGCTGTGACAAATTACCACAAACTGAGTGGTCTGGAACAACAGAAATTTATTCTCTCACAGTGCTGGAAGCCGGAAGTCCAAAATCAGTTTCACTGGGCCAAAATCAAGGTGTTGCCAGGGCTGTAGTCGCTGCAGAGGCTTTAGGGAGAATCCAGTACTCTTCCAGCTTCTGGTGGTTGCCGGCTTTCCTTGGTTTGTGGCTACATCACTCCATCCTTTCCCTGTTTTCACAGCGTCTTCTCTGTTTATGTGCAGTCTCCTCTTCTGTGTCAGGTCTTCTCTGCTGTTCTAAGGACACTTGTGATTGCATTTAGGTGCTGCCCAGAAACTCCAAGATAATCTTCCCATGTCAAGATCCTTAACTTAATCACACTGAAGACCCTTGTTCCTTACTAAGTAGCATTTACAGGTTCCAGGGATTAGGGCCTGATATCTTTGGGTGGTCATCATTAGGCCTCCTACAGGAGTGTTCTTGTTTCCCTTCCAGGGAGGAGAACAGAACCCATTAAGTGCTTTCCTACTGGGCAAAGTCATGTAACATTTGAGTCTTTCCAGTTACCCTGTTACTGGGAAGCTTGTTATCCCATTTCACAGATTGGAAAACTGTGGAGTGTTCAGAGTGGTTCATCACATGGCTGATAATTGGTGGAGCTGCACTGGAACCCAAGTCAGTTGGGTCCCACAGTCTGCTTCAACTTCTCTTGGGCCTTTGGACCAGTAGGTTGCAGAGTCGTGCACCTGGGATCCCCTGATGTCAGAGAGCTTTGCCCAGCCCCCTTGTGGAGGCTCAGGGATGTGGAGGGACTCGCCCACAGGCTCAGCAGTGGGCTTGTGAGATTCACTGTCTGGACTTGACTTTTTCAGGCCAGAGCATTGATGCAGTTTGTTTATTTATTTATTTATTTATTTTTAAAGATTTTATTTATCCGACAGTGAGAGACACAGCGAGAGTGGGAACACAAGCAGGGGAGTGGGAGAGGGAGAAGCAGGCTTCCCGCGGAGCAGGGAGCCTGATGTGGGGCTCGATCCCAGGACTCTGGGATCATGACCTGAGCCGAAGGCAGGCGCTTAATGACTGAGCCACCCAGGCGCCCCACGTTGATGCAGTTTAAACTTACCAATGGCAGGGTTAGTCCCCATCCCTCTCTCCTATCAGCGTTTCCTTCCTGGGCCACTTTCCTAAACAACTCCCAAGTTGGCACCTTTCTCAGAGGCTCCTGTCTAGCCAGGGGAAGGAGGAGACTAAGCTAGGGGCTTCTGGGACTCTAAACTCTTCCTGGAGCCCAGGACCATGGCATCCCTGTTTTCTCTCCCCAAAAGGAGAGGCAGGGTTTCAGCCAGACCCAAAGCCCTTAAGGCTGCTGGTGCCAAAGCCAGTGGGAGGGTCGTGGTTTGGCCTCCAGATCCAGGCCCAGATCGTCCCAGTACCAAAGCCCTACTTGTGCAAAGGGTATGCTCAGGCCTCCTTCATTTTTAGGGACAAACCAGGACTTTCCCAGGATGGGCTGCCAAGTATGTCTCCATGTTGTGGCTCATGAGGCCTCCCCTTTTGCCTCCATACTAGGCTTTGCTGGTGCCCAAACCCCAGCTCTTTTTGCTTTTGTCAAATGAGGATAAAGCTCACTGCCACCTGGGCTGTGGTAAGAACAATTAAATGAAGTCACCTTTTGCATCAGGCATCTGGTACGGGGCAGGCATTTGGCTAATATGAGTTCATCTTTCTTCCTGGCCCCACCCTGTTTACCTGCCTAGTCCCACCCAGAACTTTAGTTGTGCTGGACTCACTGCTGGGCCTCTCTTGGCATCCCTGGTGCTTTGTGGTAGAAGTGATTTTTTTAATGTATTTAGGTAATCTCTACACCCAATGTGGGGCTTGAACTCACCACCCCAAGATCAAGAATTGCGTGCTCCTCCGACTGAGCCAGCCAGGCACCCCCTGAAGTGATTTCTTACCCAGTTAACAAGCATTTCTGGAGGTCTTCGTGTTTTAATCCTTCCATCAGGTGGCACCTCTTCTCAGGTGCCAACCTTAATGATTGGTTAGGTCCCTTCCTGTGTGTTTCATAGCACTGTGTTAGCTCTTCACTGCCCTGCTCACACTTGTGCATGGTCATTCCCTGTTTGCCCATGACCTCCAGCAGTCAGCAAGCTTACGGAGGGTAGAGACTGAGTCTGATTCATTGCGCTGTCCTCGTTGCCTGGCTTACTACAGTCGGGGTCTGATTTGGCAGCTGCCTGGTAGACCCTTGTTGGAGGAATAAGTAGGAGCCCTTCTCCTCCTCTTTGATCCCTTCCCCCCTCAATCTTCTCCCCTGCACTAGAGGGCAGGAGGTTACTATGCGCCCTTCTTTAGAACTTTTCTTTCTGCTCAGTGTGGGCCTGTAGTCATAGTTGCAGCTTCCCTGCTGGTGACCCCTGGGTGGGGCAGGTACCGTGGTGTTGGGAGATGGGTATCCCTGCAGGGCAGGGATGGACTGGGGGAAACTGGCTGAAGTGTGCTAGTCCACAGCCTCTGGGGCAGGTGAGGCATGTGCTGGAGTGTTGTGCACAAACAAGAGTCTCTGTGCTGTCCATGGAAGCCCATTAAGGGCTTCCAGGTGCCTTTGTCATCTCTGGCAAGCCAGCCACACCTTCCTGGGGTGTGGGCCCTAATGGTGGGGCTGCTGGGCATTCCCTCATCACCCCCCTCTGCATCCCCTACTGTCCAGCTACTCCAGTGGGGCTTGTTGAGGGCCTCTCGGTTGTACGTGGTCTGTGTCTGTGCCAGTCTTGCCCCTTCTGTGGCTGAGGACCTGTTATTTACCAAGCCTTTTTAGGCCCTGAAGCTGCTCTGAGCTTCTTCACAGCTCTGTCAGGTAGATCACATATGCCTTGTTTGATAGGAAACTGAGGCTTGGAGAATTCAGGTAGTTTACCTGAAATCACACAGCGAGTGAGTGACAGGGGTGGGGTTGAAATGCAGAGCCTCTGAACCTTGTACTTACTACTCTCCTGGGATTTTCACTCACCTGAGCTGGGGAAAAGTGGACTGCAGAGAAGTGATCCCCTCTGTCTAGTCAGAGTTAGCCCGGATCCTCTAAATCCCTGGGCAGGGTAGTGTCCCAAAGGAGGGGGTTTGGGATTCCTGGTCCCTCGCCCATATGCTGGATAAGGCTGGCTTCTTCTGGTGGCCAGCAGAGGGCGTGAGGGGCCTGGGAAAGGTCTGCTGCTTCCGATTTTGTTTTGAAATGGAAGATATGTTTTTAGTGACACATGGACATTATTTTTTTTAATCGACTTAATTATTTATTTATTTATTTTTATAAAGATTTATTTGACAGAGACAGCGAGAGAGGGAACACAAGTAGGGGGAGTGGGAGAGGGAGAAGCAGGCTTCCCACTGAGGAGGGAGCCCGATGCGGGGCTCGATCCCAGGACCCCGGAACCATGACCTGAGCAGAAGGCAGATGCTTAATGACTGAGCCACCCAGGCGCCCCTCGACTTAAATTTTTAGAGCAGTTTTAGGTTCACAGCAAAACTGAACAAGAGTTCCCATATTGAACAGGGAGTTCCCACATACCGTACCCTGCCCTCACACATGCATAGTCTCCCCCATTATTAACACCCCCCCACCTGAGTGGTGCATTTGTTACAATCAGTGTCCATGTAGGACACATCATAATCACCCAGATTCCACAGTTCACATTAGGGTTCACTCTTGGTGTTCTACATTCTGTGGGTTTGGACAAATGTATAATGACACATAACCACCGTTAAGGTACCATACAGAGTAGTTTCACAGCCCTAAACATCCTCTTTTCTGCCTATTCATCTCTCCATTATTTTTTTTTAAGTGTGAAGATAAACATTTGTACAGGCTCACTGAACCTGAACGTTTGGGGTCAGATGTGCTTTGGAATTTAGGGAAATTTCAGAATTTAGAAAAACCTGGTGTGTGTACTGTGTGTTATGTAACACCTCTGGTGGGGTCTGTGGTAGCACTTCATAACCATACACCTGAATGTTTCTGCATAGAAATGTTTGAGTATTCACCTCCAAGTGGGATAAATAGGTTCTTGCCAACTCAGGTCAGGTAATGATGGCAAATGAGTTAGAGGAAGACTTTGGTTTTCAAAGCTTTTTGAGTTTTGGAATTTTGGACAAGGGATTGCATACCTCTCATAAAGAAAGTCAAAATCCTCTGTAATACCAACTTCTAGGGATATTTTGTTGTATGGTCTTTGCAACTCTCATGTGTTTGTATGCACATGCACATATACGTTAAACGGGTTCAGCTATAAGTGAGATCATACAGCGTATGCATTTTGCCTTATATGATATATCTTGACAGTCCCTAGTTATACGTGTAGGGCTTGGGATCTGGGCTCTAGCCAGTTACTCCCTCCTCAACATCTTCTCTACCTTAAGTGGCTAGAAGGTCCCCAGGTGAACTGGTGAACTCCTTGAGATAGAGCCAGGTCCGTCCCTATCCCCAAGGCCTCACCCCCGGGTACTTGCCGGGTCTGGGCCTCTGGCTGCCTGTAGGAGCCCAGTATTGGATTCCCAATATGGTCAGCAGGGCCGGTCAGAAAACAGATGAGACCCCTCTGGGAGCAAGTATTCTGCTCACACAATGACTGATTTCCTAAAAGAAAGGGTCTCCTCCTTCTCCATGTGCATGGAGTGTCAAGCAGGGCTGGGAACTTGACCCTGCCCAGTGTCCTCTCAGCCAGTTAGCTGGGCCCTTCAGGAACCTAGAGGGCAGGGCCCTGGGGAGGGGGTACAGGCCTTTCCTGTTGCTGACTCCCACCTCTTCCCTTCAGCAGGAGCACTGGTTTGAAAAGGCCCTGAGAGACAAGAAGGGCTTCATCATCAAGCAGATGAAGGAGGACGGTGCCTGTCTCTTCCGGGCTGTAGGTGAGTCTGTGCCTTAGCTTTCAAGGGCCTAGGACTGCCCCTGAGCTGTTTCTGGTGTTTAGGAGTAACCCCTGAGACGGGGTTGAGGGTAGAGTTTACTGGTGTTCCAGGGGCTCCAGACCCCAGCTTCAAGTTAGTATCTGGCCTCTATCCTTTGGTCATGAGGCAGTGCGGTGGTGTGAAAGTAATAATAATAGTGATAAAAAATGTTACTTAGGGACAGATTGCACTGTCAGACACTAAAGGAAACCCTTTTTCATTCCCTTCCAAGCTAGGTTAAGTGTAGGAACTATTGTGGTTTCCATTTGTCAGAAGAGAAAAGCAGCTTAGAGCAGGGAAGTGACTTGCCCAGGGTCAGATAGTAGAGTTGGGAGTCTCTGGGTTGGGTTAGTCTGAGGCCCATGTTCTTTTTTTTTTTTTTTTTTTTGACAGAGACAGCAAGAGAGGGAACACAAGCAGGGGGAGTGGGAGAGGGAGAAGCAGGCTTCCCACCGAGCAGGGAGCCTGACATGGGGCTTGATCCCAGGACCCTGGGATAATGACCTGAGCCGAAGGCAGCCGCTTAACCGATTGAGCCACTCAGGCGCCCCGGAGGCCCGTGTTCTTTTTTTTTTTTTTTTTAAAGATTTTATTTATTTATTTGAGAGAGAGAGAATGAGAGATAGAGAGCGTGAAAGGGAAGAGGGTCAGAGGGAGAAGCAGACTCCCCGCCGAGCAGGGAGCCCGATGCGGGACTCGATCCCGGGACTCCAGGATCATGACCTGAGCCGAAGGCAGTCGCTTAACCAACTGAGCCACCCAGGCGCCCGAGGCCCATGTTCTTAACCACAGCACACTGCTGTCACCCTGGGATCATAGAATTTTTTAAAACTTACACAAAAGTAGAGTAGTGAATTCTCATGTCCCCATCGTTCATCTGCAAAATAGTCGTCAACACTTGGCCAGCCTTGTTTCATCACTACCCTGCCCACTCTTTTTCGCTCTCCTGAAACAAGAGTATTTTTAAAGCAAAACCCCAACATCAGATCATTTCATTTGTAAATATTTATGTATGTTTCTCTAACAGATAAGGATTTTTTCTTTTTTAACATAACCAAAGTGTTATTATCCTACCTAACAATATTCATAATTCCTTAATAACATCTATCCAGTCTGAGCGACATCCTTGAGGCCGCTCTGGCTCTGAATCTTGTGACCCAACAGGCAGTTTGAAGGCCCTTGTCCAGGGGAATTTGGGAATGTGATCTGACCCTTCCATGGGGGCTCTGCTATCTACCAGGGAAAAGGGCCCTCTGATAGGAGCCTTGAAGTAGGAGTCAGAAGCCCTGTCTTCCAGTTCTGGCCGTGATTCAAAAACTTCCATTTTCCCATCTGTGAAATGGTGTTGATTGTGAAGGGCTCCTTGAATCCTTACAAGGTCTGCTATTCTCTCACCATGCGGCTAGCCCCGTGTCTCCTGGTAGCCTGGACTGACTCCACTTCTGACTGTGCCACTGATTCTTGGTGTGAACTTGGGCAAGCAGCTCTGTTTTCCTGAGCCTGTTTCTGAGGCTGTAACAGGAGGCAGAAGACCCAGAGTGATAATGGTTACATGAGATCACTTCAGTAAATCCCTCTGGTGCCTGACACCTGGTAGACCCTCAGGGAACAGTAGCAATGGTGAAGCTTGAACGCTGTTTTCAGTGGGGTCTCAGAGCTACAAATGTTTGTTGAATGAGTAGAAGTTTAGGTGGGTTGAGTGCTTGCCTCCCTGTTCTACCAAGCGGAAGAGGCTCAGGCAGTGGACTCTGCTGGGCTAGGAAAATGCCACCCTTTCTACCCCTGTGGCTCAATCCTGTGTTCTCCCTGGGATGTTTCCTAGAAAGAGAGCTGGGTTTGGGGGCGTCTTGGACAAAAGGAAGGCAAAGAAAGAATAGGTCAGGGCCTGTTAGGTGCTAGGCCCTGTGCTGAAGCCTCAGGCTAGATGTGGGGCAAACGGGGCTGCTGGTGGAGTGAGTGTAAGAGAATGCATCTGGGCACCTTGGTCTCAGGCCGCCTTTGAGGCAGATGTTGGAGCTAGTAAGGACCTGGCTTGTGTAGTAATCCATATCAACAGGGATATTTTCTTTTTTTTTTAATTTCATTTTAGTACGTTATGTTAGTCACCATACATTACATCATTAGTCTTTGATGTAGTGTTCCACGATTCGTTGTTTGCGTATAACACCCAGTGCTCCATGCAGTACGTGCCCTCCTTAATACCCATCACCGGACTAACCCATCCTCCCCACCCCCTCCCTTCTAGAACCCTCAGTTTGTTTCTGAGTCCATAGTCTCTCATGGTTCGTCTCCCCCCTCCGATTTCCGCCCTTCATTTCAACAGCAATATTTTCTTTTTTTTTAAATCTTTTTTTTAAAGATTTTATTTATTTATTTGACAGAGAAGAGAATGAGAGATAGAGAGCACGAGAGGGAAGAAGGTCAGAGTGAGAAGCAGACTCCCTGCTGAGCAAGGAGCCCGATGTGGGACTCGATCCCGGGACTCCAGGATCATGACCTGAGCCGAAGGCAGTCGCTTAATCAACTGAGCCACACAGGCGCCCCTCAACAGCAATATTTTCATGTGTGTCCATCCAGCTGACCTCCCCAAACACCCTCTGACACCCCCCTCAAGGGCCTTCCAGTAAAGGGCCTGAGCTTACAGGAAGAGCTGACCGCGGCAGGTTGAAGGCCTTTCCCTATCAGCACTATGGCTACCCATTTCCCCCAACTGGACTGCCCTTGGCTTTTCTCTGTAAAACCTCAGAAGCCCCATGGCCACTCCCTGGAAGTATGTGGCTCCTGGGTCTCTAGGCCTCATCTGGAGGTTTCCCTGGGCCAGAGTGCACAGGACATGTGCCTGGGAAGGGGACTTTGTCCTCGGGCTTTCTGATGCCCCTCTGCTTCCAGCCTAGCTTGTGCAGGGACAGGCAGCAGGGACAGAGCACCTGAGCTCTGATGAGAAGGCCTACAGGTTCTAGCTTCCTGCCACGCATTGCATAGTGGAAGGAACACATAACCAAAGGCTGGAGTTGGAGAGGGGATTGCACACATAGAGGCCACAGTGTTCCTTGACCCTGACTGTTTGCTGGCATTCGGCTGGGTGCTTCAGATTCACCTGCAAAATTGGGATCATTATCCCATGAGACAGGTGAGAAGATTGAGGCTCAGGAAAGGGAAATGACATGCTTGGGGTCATTAGTGGCGGAGCCGGCATGGGAACCCAGACGTGTCCAAAGGACATGTTCTTTCTATGACCCTGGGAAAGCCCTAGCTTCTCAGCTTAGCTGTCGACTGGCTGGGTGACCTCAGGTATATTCCTTGACCTCTCTGGGCCTTACTTCCTCTAACTAGGAGCCTGTGGTCCTCTACTGTTGGGAATCCTGAGGCAGGTGGCTTTTTACCCTCTTTTTTTGCCTCTGAGGTCTGGGTGTCCCTCGTGTGAACCAGTACTCACTACTCTCTCCCACAACCCCCTGTTGGGGACTTGTGAGCATCAGTGAAGGCTTGGGTGGAAGGAGGAGCCCACGTTCCTGAGGTACCCTGTGGCCCACCCTGCCCCTGCTAGACTCAGATAACCTCCTCCTGGAAACGTGGGTCTGCATCTCTCCAGCCCTCTCCCCATAGGACTTTGACTCAGCGAAAACCTCTGGCCCTGGCCCTGGCCTCTGTGGGCAAAGTGGAAGCCACATGTGCGTCTGTCTGCACGGGCCACGAGGAAGCAGCTGGAGCTGTACATGTTAGAACAATGGGGCCCAGAAACATGAGCCTGGACCATCACGTGTCGCGGGGGTGGATCTTCGATTAATTTTGACTGTTTTATGAATGGGGAAACTGAGGCCTTGCGAGAAAGCCAGCACCCTATTACCTAGATCACATGGGCAGCCTCAGGACATAGGTGTCTGAGGTTGAACTAGGCCAGAAGGAGAAGATTCCCATGGACACCTGTGGCCATTGGGCTCTTTCTGCCTTGCTTCCCCCGTTTCCCCAACTTGGCCATGGGCATCCTTGAGTAGAAGAGCGGGCATCTCGGAGACCAGGCCATCAAGAGGACAGAGTTCTGTCTCCCCTCACCTAGGGTGTCTCCCCCATTGAGGGTGTGCCATTTGGGGCCATGGGCCAGGTGCACACCACAGCCGCTTGACAGGCAGGGGAGGCCTTTTTCCTGGCTCATCTCCTCAGTGGGGCCAGGAGGCAAGTGGGGAACAGATCAGGTTCCTGTCTCCCCCTGCTGCTGTGTGTACACACATTTGTGTGGTTTGTTTTTAGATTGCCTGCAGACACCAGGCTTCCTTTTCTGTCCTCAGCAGAACTTGCTGCGGCTCTTCTAGCAGGCGGGCAGGCAGCCTGGCGGGGAGACAGTACCCGGGTGCCTCTCAAACAAATAGTAGGGCCCTGTGCTTAATTAAACTCCTGTAGGTAGTCCAGGCTCTGCTGTCCTGCTTCTCCACATAACTCTTAGGCAAATAGTGACTATTTTAGAGAGCCTGAGGAGGAGGGATTACAGAGGTTTGAGGGACCTTCCCCCAGGTAGCAGGGGAAGGAGGTTGAGGCAAGCCTGTAAGAGCTCTTAGCTCTTCCTCCCTCCCATTAACCCCTGGCAAAGGGTAGGAAGGAGGTAAGGGTCCTTGCTTTATACAGCTTTGCCTCTCATCCAACCTTTAATCTTGGTTAGCGGTAAGGACAGCTACTTGCTGAATGCGATAGGTCTCTGTAGTTGTGAGGGTGGTGTGGATATTTGGTCAGGGAACATCTTTTTTTTTTAAGATTTTATTTACTTGTGAGAGAGAGAGAGCTCACACACGAGGTGGAGGAGCGGCAGGCAGAGGGAGAAGCAGGCTCCCCGCTGAGCAGGGAGCCCCATGTGGGGCTCGATCCCAGGACCCCAGGATCATGACCTGAGCTGAAGGCAGCCGCTTAACCTACTGAGTCACCCAGGCGCCTCTCAGGGAACATCTTTGGCAGGATCTGCTGGCTTTGTGTGTGTGTGTGTGCGCACATGTGCGTTTCTCTGCTCATGTCTCAGCATGCTCAGAGAAAGGACAGATGTAGGCGGTGGGGAGGTAAGGTTTATGCTGACCTCTGTGTAAGTCCTGCCCACTTGCAGGCCTTTCCAGGGTTCCAGCTGATTCCTGCTTGTGCTGGTGGGGAAACTGAGGCAGACAGAATCAGGCCTTGCCCTCAGCAGGCAGGCGGCTAAGGTGATAGCTGGATTAGGGGTAGTGGTAACATCACCTGGAGCATCAGTGTTTGAAGCTACCCCGTATTCCTTGAGAGCCTGGCCTTTACCCTCCCCTGAGGTCCAGCTCTGCCACATTTCTGTACCTCAGTTATCCCTCCTATGTAAAGTAGGGCTTTTTGGGGTGAAGATGAAATAAGTTGGAATGTGAAAAGGCCTTGGTGGAATCAATTGTGGTATTGTCCTGAGGATTTCCGAGCCCTCTTTGGGTTGGGGACAGAGGTGAGGTAGTGGGGGACCCCCTTCAGCTGGACTCTGGGAGGGGAGAGCAGGTGCAGATTGCCCACAAGTGCAGCGTCAGCAAGAGGAGTTTCAGTTTCTATCAAAACAAGTTCTCTGAATTCCCCTACCTCTGCAGGTCCATTGGGCCCTTTCCCCCACCTTGGCCCCCACAGGGCAGTCCAGCCCAGTCCTTAGTCCCATATGCCAACCCTCTGGGAGGAGGGGGCTTTCTGGAGGACAGAGGTGGGGCTAGCAAAGTCAGACAAGCACTGCCTCGATGAGGACTTCCTGTGTTTTAGCCCTGCCTTGGGTGGTTATCCCACCTTAATATCATTGAAAAGATCTTTCTCACCCCCATTGGGGAGGTATTTTTGCTCGTTTTCCTTGGTGTTCAGATATGCACATTTTCTTCCGCGTCGATGATCCCAGAACCAGCTTATATCTTATAATCAGTGAGGTGGGTCGTTCCGCCCACCCCCAACAAAAGCTGTGATTTAAATGCGTGTACAGTACCACCTATCAGTGCATCTTAGGATTGAGGAGAGAAGGGGAAACCTTACAGGTAGGTAGGTAGAGAAAGTCATTTAAGGACCCTGTTTCGTGAAGCGTGTATTTTCAATTTGATGTTAATTTGGTTGCTAAAGATTTGAACTATGGACACAGGAGGTAGGCCTGTGGACCTTTGGATTCAGGAAAGGTGGAGAGCCCGCCCTGCCTGTGTGAGGCGGGACAGCCTAGACTCCTTGCTCGGGGCTTTCCTCTGGCTGAGGGAGTGCGACAGAAATGAAGAAGGGCTTAATGAGTGGTTCCGGCGACATTCTGACTGACTCGGGGATGGTTAGCTATCTGAGGGAGTCGTCGTCCACTCATGACAAGCGGAGCCCCTAGGTTCATTTCTTGAACACCCAGGACATCGTAGGCATTCAGCAAACCCCACCCCTCGTCTTGACAGCTCCCTGTGAAAGGAAGAGTAGTACTCCCCCCACTTCACGGATGAAGACATTGCAGCCCAGAGAGCTCGAAGGCCTTGTCCAGTGCCACACAGCTAGGAGGCAGCAGGGCCTTTCTGCTAGGCAAGGGGGCCAATGGCAGGGCAATGGGGGGGGCCTTCACGAGCTTCCCTCAGCTCCCTTCCCTGTTGCAGTCTCCCCTTTCCTCCATTTTCTTGCATCCGGCATCCAGCTCAGGTAGATCCATCTCCCAGGAAATGCCTGTCGATCCTTCCCGAGGAGCATCTCAGCCCCCTCCTGGAGCTTGGCAGGCTGGCCCCTGTTTAACCCCCTTGCCGCCGTCCCAGTCCCTGTTTACTGCAGCTGCTGGCAGCACTGCCTCCGCAGCCCCCCAAGCTCATTCTACATAAATAGCTCTCGCAGCCACAGCGGCCTCTGTGGTCCCGGCTTCTAAGAAAGGCGGCAGCAGGGGGCCCCCAGCCTCTGCGCAGGGCACGTGACTTGCTGGAAATGCTGCTGGGGGGGCGGGGGAGAGTGTGGCCGCAGAACCCACATCCTTGTTTACATCGGTGAAGGGGCTACCCCTTCCCGCCTTCACAGCTCCCCCCCCCCAGGTCTCCGCACCTCTAAGAGGACGTGAGACAGGCATGGGCCCCATTTTATGTCTCAGAGCAGCCCTTTTCTCCTCTCACAGAATCCTCCAGGGAGGGAAGGGGAGGGCAACAAAGGCGATTCTTCAGAGGTGGACTGGCTGTCCTGGAAGATCTCTGCGGTGTTCCCTGAAACAGTGGGACCTGCCCCTGCCCCAGTGCCGCAGGAAGACCCCATCAGAGCAACGGTCCTTTGGGGAGACAAAGGGAAATTCCCTCTTCGTCTTAGCCAGCGGACATCAGGCATGCCCCATCTTCAAGCCCCCTTTAATTTCCCTGGGAGAAGACTCCCTGGCTCCTCTGGCCTGTCCATCCACTCAGCAAGCTGGTCCCGATTTCCTGTACTGTATCGGGCCCTGAGCTGGGGTGGACTTGGATGTGACTTGCTCTCAGCCCTCAGTGGGAGTCAGAGTGGTCAGGCAGAGGAAGTGTGTACACACCTTTGATAAATCTAATGATAGAAGTGCTCTGGAGGGTGGGAGGGCTGGGCAACTGTATAAAGAATACATGGGTGTGTGACAAGTAGGCAGCCGAGGAGGATGGAAAGAATGCCCCGAAAAGAGGAAATGGCATGTGTGAAGATCCTCAAGTAAGGCAGGGGGAGCCTGGTTCTTATTTTGACTGAAACCCTGTGACACCTAGATCGTTTGGGCCTTAGGCAGGCTGCCTTTCCCGAATTAAGCTTAACTTATGTTCGTATGTGTCTTATTTCTCTTGCTAGATTATGTGCTGCTTGCAGGCAAGGGCAGGATTTTACTCACATCTATCACCTACACAGTACCCCACATTCAGGCCCCACTCCGGGTAGGGGAGTCTGGTTTACTGAGTGACTGCTATGTCCCAAACCCCGTACTGATCACCTTATACCCATGATTTCGTTGATCCTATAAGAGGCCTGCCAGGGAGTTACTGCTTGTTCCTGTTTTACACGTGAAGCCTCTGAGGCTCAGGACACTTGGGTTGCTTGCCTCTGGTTGTTTAGCTCACTGGTACCTGGGAGAACTGGGCTTGGAGCCCAGTTTTTAGTTTCTTCTTCTTTTTTATTTATTTATTTGTAACCTATGAAGGCCATGCTGGCTCCCAGGAGTCAGGAAAACTGTATTCTAGAGTTGACTCTCTCAGACTGACTTGCTGTGTGACCTTGGTGAAGCCACAAACTCTCCCTCAGCCTCAGCTTCCTCATGTGAAGAGTGAAGGGGGAGTGTGGAGCTGCTGGTGCTCGAGGCCACTTAGGGGACTTAAAATGTTTGTTGATTTGTCTGAGTGGCTGGGCAGGCCCCGGACAAACTCATCTGCCTGGGTTGCGTTCCTCTCGCCCGTACTCTCCCGTTCTTAAAGACTGTCCCTGCCTGCCTCTTTTTTCCATGACCCCATTCCAGCCCACAAAGCCAAGCACGCTCCAGGCCGTAGTATAGGAAAAGGAGTTTCCCTGGCCCCCAGCCCTCCACCCCCAAGGATGTTCCAGGACGTGGAACTCTTCTCCGGTGGCAGCTCTTGACCCCTGCCTCTCCTTCTGTCCCCACAGCTGACCAGGTGTACGGAGACCAGGACATGCATGAGGTGGTGCGAAAGCATTGCATGGACTATCTGGTGAGACCTTGCGGAGGCCTCGGGGCGGGGGGCGGGGGGGCGCAGAGTGGGCACATCCCTTCCCCGCCCGGACCCGACCCTCCGATCTGTTCTGCAGATGAAGAATGCGGACTACTTCTCCAACTATGTCACCGAGGACTTCACCACCTACATCAACAGGAAAAGGAAAAACAACTGCCACGGCAACCACATTGAGATGCAGGCCATGGCAGAGATGTACAACCGGCCCGTGGAGGTGTACCAGTACAGCACAGGTACTTCTGCGGCGGGCAGCTGAGCGGCCTGTCCTGCCCGGCCCACCGCGGGTGCTCCTTCCTTCTCTTTCTCTGCAGAACCCATCAACACATTCCATGGGATCCATCAAACCGAGGATGAGCCCATCCGCGTCAGCTACCATCGGAATATCCACTACAATTCAGTGGTGAATCCCAACAAGGCCACCATTGGTGTGGGGCTAGGCCTGCCATCATTCAAACCCGGGGTAAGTGGGTCCCCATGCCCAGGGTGGCCAGCTGGATAGAGAGGCCAGAAACCTCTTTTGACATCTCAGTTCTGCCCTATCCCACAAAAATGACATGTCCCCTGAGTTGCCCCTGAGCTCTCACCTCTGTAAAACTAGGGAGTTACCCAAGGTGATCTCTCGGGGCTCATTCGGTGCTCTCCATTTGTGCGTCTGAGCTGGCTTACCCATTTTTCGTGCCTGTTGAGGGTTGGCATTTTGGGATATGGAGGAGGCACATCTGGGAACTGTGAAACGGGCTTGGTCTGGGTATCTTGGTACCTGCATGGATCCTCCGAAACTCAGCAGTTCTAGACAGCTGTGGTCGCAGAGACTTAAAAGTGCAGGCCTGGCCCGAGCACTACTGGCTGTGGGACCTAGGGCGGGTAATACAAGGAATGTGGGCTGCCTGCTCGGCCGCTACAGAACGTGCCTAACACTGGGCCTGTTGCCTAGTTAGGTGCTCAGAAGGTGGCAGTACGGTTTTCCAGCCCATGCTGACAGGTTCTTGTTCTCTCTCATAAACAGTCATCTTCTGGGGATTTTGCTGTCTTCTATTGGGGTTTCACTTCCTACAAACAGAAAGTGCCCCTGCCTCATTTTAGGAAACGCACACCCTAACACCACACACCCTCCAACATAGGGGTTTTTTTTTTATTTTGTTTTTTAAGTAAACTTAATTTTGGAACAGTTTTAGATTTACAAAATTACCAAGATTAGATAATTCCCATATTCCCCACTATGATGAACATATCCGCATAGAACATTTGTCACAATTAATAAACCAGTATTGATACATTAACTAAAAAACCATACTTTATTTAAATGACCTCAGTTGTTCCCTAAAGATCTTTTCTGTTCCAGAATCCCATCCAGGAGACCTTCCTACATTTAGTTGTCATGTTTCTTTTGGCTCTTCTTGGCTCTGACAGTTTCTCTGAATTTCCTTGTTTTTATCTTTGATCTGTTTACAGAGTCTAGTTTTGCCTTTTCTAGAATGTAATGGAATTGGAATCATAACAGTATGTAGTTTTTTTCTGACTGTTTCACATAATGCCACGTACTTAAGATTCATCCATGACTTTTTGTGGTCTGATCACTCGTTTCTTTCTTTCTTTTTTTTTTTTTTACTTATTTTTAAAGATTTTATTTATTTATTTGACAGAGAGGGACACAGCGAGAGAGGGAACACAAGCAGGGGGAGTGGGAGAGGGAGAAGCAGGTTTTCCACTGAGCAGGGAGCCCGATGCGGGGCTCGATCCCAGAACCCTGGGATCAAGACCTGAGCCAAAGGCAGACGCTTAATGACTGAGCCACCCAGGCGCCCCTAAGATTTAAGATTTTAAGATTTATTTATTTTAGAGAGAAAGAGCACGAGTGGGAGGGGCAGAGGGAGAGGGAGAGAATCTCAAGCTGACTCCGTGCTGAGCGCACAGCCCAACCTGGGGCTCGATCTCCCGACCCTGAGATCATGACCTGAGCCCAAATCAAGAGTTGGAAGCTTAACCAACTGTGCCACCCAGGTGCCCCACTCGTTTCTTTCTTTTCTTTTTTAAGATTTTATTTATTCATTTGACAGAGAGCAAGCACAAGCAGGGGAGGGGCAGAGGGAGAGGGTGAAGCAGGCCCCCACTGAGCAGGGAGCCCAATGTGGGGCTCGATCCCCGGACCCTGGGATCATGACCTGAGCTGAAGGCAGACGCTTAACCGACTGAGCCACCCAGGCTCCCCAGCCCCACTCGTTTCTTTTTTTTTTTTTATTAAAAAAAATGTGAATGCCTTAAGGATTTTTGTTTGCTTGTTTGTAAACTTAATTGTTCAGAATGATTTTAAATTTACAAAAAAAAATTGAGAAGGTAGAGTTCCCATGTATCCTCCTCCCCCCTGCACACAGTTTCACTTTTATTAACATACTGGATGACTATGATACATTTGTTACAATATATGAACCAATAGCAATACAGTATTATTAACTAAAGTCATCCTGTCTCTTTAGAGTCCCTTGTTCTGTGACGGTTTGTCACACTTTTATGTTTTTGATGACCTTGACAGTATTGAGGAGTACTGGTCTGGTATATTGTAGGATGTTTCTCTTTTGAAATTTGTCTGATGTTTTCTTATTAGACTAGGGTTATGGGTTTTAGGGAGGAAGATCACAGTGGTAAAATACCATTCTCATCACATCTTATCAATGGTAAATACTGGGAACATGATTTATGACTGTTGATGTTGACCTTGACCCCTGGGAGTATTGTTGGTCAGATTTTCTCCACTGCAAAATTATTCTCTCCCCCCATTCCTTTTTCCATACTGTCCTGTTTGGAAGGAAGTCATTATGTACAGCCCACACTGAAGAAGTAGAGGTTATGCTCCATCATCTTTTTTTTTTTTTTTAAAGATTTTATTTATTTATTTGACAGAGAGAGAGAGAGCAGGAACACAAGCCAGGGGTAATGGGAGAGGGAGAAGCAGGCCCCCTGCCAAGCAGGGAGCCCGATGCGGGGCTCAATCCCAGGACCCCAGGATCATGACCTGAGCCGAAGGCAGCTGCTTAACCGACTGAGCCACCCAGGCGCCCCTATGCTCCATCTTCTTGAGGGCAGAGTATCTACATAAATTATGTAGAATTCTTCTGCAAAGGAGATTTGTCTTTTGTCCCCCATTTATTTATATCACTGTGGACTCAAGGATATTTTTTTTATGCTTCTATATTTTGAGTTATAATCCAGTACTATTTTTATTTATTTTCATGCTCACATTGTTCCAGTTTTGGCTATTGGGAGCGCTCTCAGTTGGTTCCCAACTGCATCGCTTTGACATACCCCCATCATTGTGGTGGTGGATTGATTTTTTTGTTGGGTTTGTTTTTGTTTTTTGGGTTTTTTTTTTTGGTTTTGGTTTGTTTATTGTGTTTCATTTTGTAGCACTTTCTTACTTTCTGGCACTATGAGGTGCTCCAGGTTCATCTTGTATATATCTTGCTCCAGTCCTAGAACCAGCCATTTGTCCAAGGAGCCCTGGTTCCTTTTATTGCAGTATGTTATTAGAAACCAAGATCTGGGTGCTGAGTGTGCTTCTTACTACTGGGGTGTTCTTGCTTCTAGGTCCTTTCAGCTGACAGAGCAAGGAGATCAATTTGTGTATACTAACCCGTGTGTATACATTTATCTAGAAATACTTCTTATGTAACCATCCATATCTCTTGTGAAGCTACAGTTCTTAACTGATATCTCCAACTGATAAGGTACCTCATGAGTTTTAATTTGCAGTTCCCTGGTGACAAATGGTGTTGAGCATCTTTTCATGTGCTTATTTGCCATCTGTATATCTTCTTTGAGGAAATTGTGTGTTTAGACTTTTTTGCCCTTTTTTCAAAAAATATTTTATTTATTAGAGAGCACAAGCAGGGGGAGTGGCAGAGGGAGGGGGAGAAGTAGCCTCCCCGATGAGCAGGGAGCCCGATGTGGGGCTTGATCCCAGACTCTGGGATCATGACCTGAGCGGAAGGCAGACGCTTAACTGACTGAGCCACCCAGGTGCCCATTTTTGCCCATTTTTAAATTGGTTTGTTCTAACATAGAGCTTTATGTACTTTTCGGATTATTCTACATAGGTAAAAAAAATTATATTTTACATCATAACCTAATGCACACACATACTGGTGTGTAGTGTGTGTATTTGCATTAAAATAATTGTTCGAATTTCACAGAGCAGTACTTAAACTTAATGCCTAGAATATGCTCTGGTATTTTTTTATTACTTCATTTTTTTAAATGTTGTTGTGTCTCATAGCCTGACAAAAGCACTCTCCTACAATGTCCCACAATTTGTGACACCCCTTCCCGTGATGATACCATCCCCTTGTCCCCTTAAATGTCCAAATACTCCCTTCACCCTGTGCACACTCAGCTAACTTCTCAGGTGATCTTTTCTCCTTGTCCCGTCTGGGCATAGGTGAGGAAGGTCTCAGTATTATGAACCTGAGCCATCGCTGGGTGAGGCATCTTTAAACTCCAGCACCTGGTTGCCCCAGACCTAGTACTTCATTCAAGGTGTCTTAGGGTTGGGAGCAGGGCTTCTGAGTACAGGAGTTTGGAATGACAAGTCCCACTACCAAAGCCTACCTCCCCCCAATTCTTGATGAATAGGCAGCCTGCTCAGGGGGTGCTTAGTAAGAGTACTTGACTTCCTATCTCCGCTCTTCTGGGCCTATAGGCCCACAGTTCTGAGCCGGTTCTGGTTCCTGGCCAGAGTTCAGAGTGTCACCCCACATCCCTGTTCCTCCCTGCCTTACAGTTCGCAGAGCAGTCCCTGATGAAGAATGCCATAAAAACATCAGAGGAGTCATGGATTGAACAGCAAATGCTGGAAGACAAGAAGCGGGCCACAGACTGGGAGGCCACAAATGAGGCCATTGAGGAGCAGGTGGCTCGAGAATCCTACCTGCAGTGGCTGCGGGATCAGGAGAAACAGGCCCGCCAGGTCCGCGGCCCAAGCCAGGTGAGTCCTGGGCTCTGTCTTTGGCCTGGCCAGGAACCCCTAACTTCATATGCTCTGTCCCCGTACAGGCAGAAGAAATGAAGCGGTTTTGACATCTGGGAGAGAAGGAAGCTCTCAGCCCATTTTGTGCCACATCTTGGCCTTAGTCTTGGCATTGTGCCTTAGAACTCTCAACACCTTTGCAGAATGAGCTCTTTAAGGAGTGAGGGAGGCCAGCCACTGGCGGTGACATGTGGGATTGATGAATAGTTCCAGAGGGACAAGCTTTTGTTGAATGTCCTTGTGTGTCAGGCTCTGTGCTGAGGATGCAGAATTAGGTCTCACCTGTTCCACTCTCAGGGATCCCCTGTCTACTGAGGGAGACAGATACATCAGTGAGGCCTTGACCCTGGCTGGGAGACCAGTGGACATGGGGGCTCTGGTCAGTCTTCACACAGGAAGGTTGGATTTTTAGGGCAGGGATGGGGCAGAGCAGGCAGGCGTTTGAGGAATCACAAGGAGTTTAGAGTGACAGTAGGTGTTGGCAAGAGTCGAGTGATTTCTACAACAAATATTTCTTGCAGGTCTGTGCCAGGCACTGTTCTCAGTGTATGGGGGTACCTTGGTGAGCCGGGCAGGCCCAGATCCCTGTCCTTGTGATGCTTACATTTTTGCAGAGTGGAACAAAAGAAACAGTAAACATAATGAGTAGATGAGTTGAGAGGTGGGACAGATGAAACACGTAGAGGGTGCTGGTGGGGAGATGAGATAGTATGGTCAAGGTGAGCCTCAGAGCAGGTGAGATGTGAGCAAAAGCTTGCAGAAGGTGAGGCAGTTAGCTAAGTGCATGTGCCAAGCCAGGCAGAAGGCCAGCAAGAACAAAGCCCTGAGGGGAGTGGAGTGCGCCCCTCCCTGGTGTGATTTGGGAGCGGCCCGGGGCCAGTGTGGCGGAGCCGAATGCAGTAGAGAGTTGGTGGGGCCGGATTGAGAAGGGGCTCGTGGGCTCTGCTGAGGACTTCGGCTTTTACTGTGAGTGAGGCAGAAGCCTTTGGGAGGGTTGTGAGCAGAGGAGGGACAGGATCCCCAATTGCCGAGTGCAGCACGGAGTCTAGGGGGTTAGGCGGAGAAGCAGGGGACCGCTAAGGTGGAAGCTACTAGAGAAGCCCCAGTGGTGGCAGGTGGTGGTGCTGGCTAGGGAGGAATGAGGAAAGGGGATGGAGTCTGAATGTGTTTTGAAAGTGGGAGATACAGGTTTCCTGTCCGGTTGGCTGTAAGGATGTGAGGGGGATTAAGGAGCTGGCCTTCATCCTGCGGTCTGCCGTGTGACTAGGAATGATGGTGGCCTATGTAGAAACTGTATCACAGCCAGGATGCCGGGAGCGAGCCAGCCCTCAGGAATGGAGCAGAGGAGGCTCACGCCTGGCGGCGGTCCTTACCTCCTCCTCCCCCCGCACTGCAGCCGCGGAAGGCCAGTGCCACATGCAGTTCCGCCACAGCAGCAGCCTCCAGTGGCCTGGAGGAGTGGACCAGCCGGTCCCCGCGGCAGCGGAGTTCAGCCTCTTCACCTGAGCACCCGGAGCTGCACGCCGAGCTGGGCATCAAGCCCCCTTCCCCAGGCACTGTCTTAGCTCTTGCCAAACCTCCTTCGCCCTGTGCACCAGGTCAGTGACTTGGTGACAGGGAAGCATGCCGGGGT